ATTCCCTTCTGACGTTCTATGGGAAGAATGGTCTGCTGGAAGAAGCTAAACAGGTGTTTGTTGCGATGGGAGAACATGTTAGAGATGAAGTTTCTTGGAACTCTATGATTGTGGCGTATGGGCAGCACAAGGATGGTGCTAAGGCGATGGAATTTTTTAGGGACATGGTTCATAGAGGGATTGAAGTCGATATGTTCACCGTGGCAAGTATGCTGACTGCATTCACGAGTCGAAATGATTTGTCTTGGGGACTTCAGCTCCATGGCAAATCGATCAAAACTGGGCTTCATTGTAACAGTCATGTTGGGAGCGGGTTGATTGATATGTACTCAAAATGTGGAGGCACAATGTTGGACAGTAACAAAGTACTCCAAGAAATTCCTGCACCAGATTCAGTTGTCTGGAACACAATGATTTCCTGCTACTCTCGTGATGATGAACTCTCGGAGGAGGCTCTCCATTGTCTGAAACAAATGCAGCTTTCCGGTCATAAGCCAGACGATTGTACCTTTTCCTGTGCTCTTAGTTCGTGCTCCACTCTCTCATCTCCTTCTACGGGCAAACAGCTCCATGCCCTGGCAATAAAGACAGATATCCCTTCAAACAGAATTCAAGTGAATAACGCCCTAATTGCCATGTACTCAAGGTGTGGAAGTCTCGATTATGCAAGACAGGTATTCAACAGGATGCCCCAGCATAACATCGTATCTTTAAACTCCATCATTTCCGGCTATGCGCAACATGGTAAGGGATCAGAGGCACTTTTGCTTTTCAACCAAATGATTCGAGTGAAAATGGTCCCCACGAGTATAACCTTCATTGCTCTCCTCTCGGCCTGTGCACACACCGGTCAGGTTGAGGAAGGTAGACGATATTTCAACATGATGATAAATGAATTTGGGATAGAACCAGAAGCCGAACATTTCTCATGTATGATTGATCTTCTGAGTCGCGCTGGGAAGTTGGGGGAAGCCAAGAGACTCATTGAAACGATGCCATTTACCCCTGGCATGGCAGCATGGGCAACTTTGCTTGGAGCCTGCAGGAAACATGGTAAGATGGAACTAGCTGAGATGGCAGCTAATGAGTTGATGCAGCTTGAACCAACAAATGCTACACCCTATGTTGTGCTTGCAAATATGTATACAGATTTTGGCAAATGGGAAGATGTATCCAGAGTTCGAAAGCTTATGCGAGATAGAGGAATAAAAAAATTGCCTGGTTGTAGTTGGCTCGAGTTACACAACAGGGTACATGTTTTTGTAGCAGAAGATAATTCGCATCCCATGATGAAGGAGATCCATGACTACTTGGACTGGATGGTGTTAAAGATCAAGCAGGCTGGATATGTACCGGATTTGAGATTCGCTTTGGTTAAGGGTTATGAAACAGGAGAAGGGGAAAAAGAGACTAGGTTAAGGCATCACAGTGAGAAACTAGCTGTTGCGTTTGGACTGTTGTCGACTACAAATGGGGCACCTATAGTTGTGATGAAGAACTTGAGGATATGTGGGGATTGCCATAATGCAATGAAATACATTTCTCAGATTAGCTGTAGGAAAATTACTGTGAGGGATGCGAATAGATTTCATTGTTTCGAACGAGGTAATTGTTCGTGTGGAGACTACTGGTGATAAGGGGTAACTTCTGAGGAGTATATGCGCAACCAGCATAAGATCTTCCCCGTAAGAGGTAGCTTCTAGTGAAGGTACACACAGAAACATGTTGAGAGTTCTTGAAACTATTTCCGATTGCTTGTAATGATTGCAACTAGTGTATGGTGTACCAAGTGGATAGTTCTTATGTATGAACTGGAAATATGAAAGAGATGTGACAATGGCAAGATAAAGGAGTGTCCCTCTTATTTGGAGGCGCAAGAGCGGAGAAAAGTAAAGGATCTTCTGCAGAATTGTGCAGGTGTAGGGAATTGGTTGGAGCTTTGTCCAGATTTTCGTGCTGCAACCTTGGCAATCCTCTTTGAAGGAATTCGTAACTTTCATGGAGGGAATGGGAACTAAGACAAACGGAGTAGTCACCATTTTAACCGGTAGTATTTTAATGATTTAGTTTGGTTAATTTGGATAATCGATTTGGTTTGGTTAAAAATTTTAGTTTATTTGATTCAGGTGGTTTGGTTTAGTTTTAGACACTCATAACCAATCAAACCAAATGAATTAGTTACATAATTAGTCATATATCTAATTTATATTATATACACATACTTAATACTTTGCATAACCATAACCATTGTATTACATGTATTTATGTTAATGGTTAACTATAATTGTGTGTTAATTGTTATGTGTTATTTATTGATACACTGACCGAAAATTTTCTCACTTAATGATAATGTGATGTTATATTGGTTATTTTGGTTAACCAATTAACCAAACCGATTAAACATTAATTTGGCTAATTTGATTGTTGAATTAGTTTGGACGGTTTGGTTATAATATTGTATTTCATAATTAAGAGAATTTTACCTTTTTTTATTTGGTAATTAGCATAGTAACCATTTGAACACTCCTGAAACTCTGCAGGGTATTAAGTGAAGGCTCCGGATTGGGGATTTGCCAGTGCATCTATTTGTCGTTACTTTCTTCGCCTATTTCTGTACTGGTTGCATGTGTGCAAGAGGTGCCTTAAGTCGTTTTAAGAGAGTTTAGCTAGTCTCAGTATTAGTTGGCGAGGTCCAGCGTCAGTTTGCAGAAGTTCGTTTTTGTTTCTATGTACTTTTGCTATATGGGGTCGTTTGGATGTGGAAATTTGAAAACGTTGGAATTTGTCTGAATTTCCATGTTTTACAAAACCAAGGAATTGACTTGTGGAAATTGAAAAAAATTTCACGTTTGGATAGGGTTTAGTTTTGTGGGAATTGATGGTGTGGAATTTGGAAAAAGAAGTAAGAAAACGTGGTAATGTCAAATTACTAGGGGGAGGTGTAGTATTCTCAATTACCATGAATGTGGTAATTGAAGCCAATTTCCATGGTCCAATTCCAATACCCTTTTTGCTCTCCCAAACGTGGGTTTTAAACCCAATTACTGCGTTATGTGGTATTTGGGTCCAATTACTGCATTGCATTTCCACGTCCAAACGACCCCTATGTCCTTTTCAGTTAATTAGTAAAATGCTATCTACTTATCATCATTATCTGTAAAAAAAAAATATATATATCACCGGACCTTTAGGTGGATAATTGTTGTTGTTGTTGATATATAAAAGCCTTGGTTTAGGGTTTACTATTCATTAAGTGGGTTATTTGGAATTACCATGAATTTTAGTGGCAATTTCATTTGATCAAAACAACTCCGTTTTTTCAATTGTTTGACAATTTTCTACCACCTCTTCAATTGTTGACTAATTTTTACCATCTAGAAGAGATCAAGGAATTCACTTATGCCCACCGATCATGCGTATTCCGATTACGTGTATTATGACGAATTGACGACGTATTTTTTTCCTTCAATCTTTTACCAAATGACAATTTTTGTGAGTTTTTAAACTAATCTAGTAGAAGTTGACTTATCATCCATATTCTAATCACGATTCACATGTATTATGGCGATGCATTTTGAATTTTCGAATTCTTATATTAACAATCTTTGTGAGTTTTCCGACTATTTTAACTCAAGGTCGACTAATTACACGTATTTTGATCACCCGTATTTCAACAATGCAATTTTGTTTTAGAATCTTATCAATTTTTAATTTCTTATAGGTTAAAAATCTGTTTTAGAATCTTCAGTCCCGCTTATGATAGTCATCATCCTTTAAGGGTTAAGGCTAAGAGCTAGCACATCAGGTTTAAAAAAAAAAATTAGTCTCCTAAATTAACTATAAGCCTTTTCTCTCTATTTAAGTTTAGAACAACTACTAGCACAACTTAGACAGAAACTTATGCTCATACTGTTGAGAGATTTCGTGCTATAACATGAACTGTTGAGGTGGAAGCGATGTTCTCAACTAAGGGAGATCAACAATCCTCTTGAGCAACTAAAGTGTTTCTTGTCTCAGAAACTATGGTTACTGATAAGGAGATCACAAAAGTACACAAATTTTGAGAACCCTAATTCATAAGTCGTTCATTGCATGGTGAGATCATAGCTAACTTCCTGATGCAAATTGTTGCTCTGGCTTACAACCTAGCCAGATACAAAGACAACAGAGAGAAGTAAGAATCATACTTATGGTATAGTGCCAGAGTAAAATTGTCATTGACTATTTAGCTAGCGGCACTTCTAAACGGTAGGATACTTACTTCTTACCATGCCAATCTATGACACAGACCGCCGAATCAATTACGAAATAGACATTTCTAAATCTCACATGAATAAAAATATAGGTTACATTGTCCGTTAGCATCACCCATTCAACACGAATATTTATTTATTTATTTTCGACATTGCCTCAAAAAGAAATCATCTTGAATTTAAGAACTTAATTAGCATGTTAATAAACCTATGCAACGTTTGCAAGCCATTAGAAACACGACTAGGCATCAACTTTAGATCCTTGTATCGCAAATCAGATCATCTCAAACCGTTAGATAAACACAACGACAATTTTGTAAATAACTTTTCCACGTACATCAACTCATCAAGCACTCGGGATGTGAAACCTAGAACCAAACATTTTTTTATATTACTAAAAGAAACAAACCAAATTGACCTGCTGCTAGTCTAATTTTGGAACTACCCATCAGTACATCAAACAAGGCATATCCACCTCACTGGGGAAGCTGAATCCAAAACAGAGGAGGTGACTGCTATAATCAACAAACTTGACATGGATTAATAAGGTAATGATTGTCTGAATGTTAAAAGGATACAACATAATGTATTAGGCAAGAACATTTTTGTTCCATGAGATTTAGCTAACTGGGTAAGAGAATGATGGCTTGACTTGTGTGGGAGTAAAATATATATTTTTAGCTCAATTGTGAAGGAACCAAAAACTGCATGAACTGAGGCCTGTAAGTTGTTCTCCGTCTCTTAAACTTAATGGTATGGGTTGAGGTGGAATACTTGACAGTTTGGCTTGTACGACCTCTTCAGTGCTGCCTGATCAAACTTCTTTTGAGCAACTTCATTTTCTTCCAAACTTGTTTGAACAAAATAGCGAATCCACCAAGAGGAGCTCCTCATTTTGGGCTGAAATGAAAAAAATCAGAATCAGTTTAGTGGTCATCCAGACTTAACATAGCTAGATAGCTAACTTGACTTGTGAATACTAAGACTTTATAGCTAACAGCACAAATACTGCAAAAGAAGCTATAGATATGGAGGCAAAGAGGCAAAGGCATCATGTAATCCACTCACCGGCCGTCCAAATTTGGACAGTTCTGCAACTTTAGCTCTCTGTTGGCCAGGATAACCTGAAAAGAAAAAGCACCAAGGTAAGAGAATGATAGTTGCCTCAAGCACTAGTATTGGTGCTTTAAAGTACAATTTGAAGTTGTACCATAACATAGTATTGGTGCTTTAAAGTACAATTTGAAGTTGTACCATAACATTAAAAGTAGAAATTGAAGTTGTACCATAAGAAAATTTGACCTTTATGTTATGGTAGAATACAACTTTAGTTTGTACCATAAAACGATTTTGTTGATTTTACAAAAGAGTATAGGTACAACCCGAAGTTGTACCATAACGTTAAAGGTACAACTTCAAGTTGTACCATAAGACAAAAACTAAAGCACCAATGATTTAACAACTATAGACATCAAATACAGTTTGAAGAAGGCCTCATTACAAATAGACCTACTTGAGAAAGAAGACCTTCAATCACAAAGCTTCATACCAAGTTAATGCTTATGAAGTATGCGTGAAATACCAGTAAAGACGACGAGACCATCAGAAGCAACCCTAGCCAGTTCAGGAAGAGTCCTGTTCAAGTACTTTGGTGAAAGGTAATCAAGAGCATCCGACACAATAACGAGTGAGAATGACTTTGCCCTGTAGGGTAGAGGGAATTTGATATCAGCAACACGAGCAAGCCCCCTCCGAACAAGATTTTTGCAGGTTGCATCTGCATCCTCGATGTCGTATGGCTCCAATCCCCAGGCTTCAGTTTCTTCTTCTTTCAGCAATGTGGAGACAACAGCACAAGTATCAGGACCTACATGCAAAATTTTACGCATGTTGTCTCCGTATGCTTTCTTCAGAAATGGTATAGATCTCAGGACTTCTGCTGTGCATGTATAGTCGCCTGAAAAATATAATGCTTGAAGTCAGTAGCTGCTTCTACGCACATCAAATTCCAGATACACCAGAATTCTCCAGGCATTCCCACTTCCAAATCCACAAATCTCTATAGGATGCCTGTCAGCCCCATTTGTTGGGAAAAGCCACATTCACCAATGAACCCGAAGTAATGTATATGGCAGAAATCGAACTTAGCACCCAGAAGCAAGAACAACTTAGATTACTCCATGCAGGAAAAGAAAACAATTTTAATGTGCATTGCTCTGCAAAAGCATGAATTTTTTAAAACCAAAAAGACTAACAAGTTCTGAAGTCAAAGAGAGTCAAACTGGGATCTACGCAAGTCTAAACAATCCAGATCCTAGTCCATTTATTTCCCACCATGCCTAACAATTGAAGGATCTGCGGATGTGAATAACAAACAAGCAAAGCAAAGACTTAGAGCAGAAATGCCCACCTTCAATCCTGCTGATATCCTTGTTACCCCTGAACAAACCTGTAAATTGCAAATCGCCATCAATCAGAATCAAGCCATGCACAATTGGGATTCAATGAAGCAATAGGGAGGCAAGAGGAAGATATACCTGGGCCGCCATAAGCATAGGCGATGAGAAGCAAAGCTCCCTGGTGAAGGGAAGGTAGAAACCGAAAAAAAGGGGGTTAATCAGGGAAGATTAGAGATGAATAAGCTGATAATAAAAATGGAGGGCTGAAGTAGGCACCAAGACGACAAGACCGATGGAGAGTAGAGGAGAAGGGCGGGACTTATGATGGAGAGCGGAAGCGAAGGGGAAGTTGCCGGAGTCGACGAATCGCCTGCCGGAGCCGACTTGCCTCCTCGACATGATTGATGATGGACGACGAACCAAAGAGAAAGCAAACAAGTGAGCGAGCAGCTGTTGATCAACAACCCTTGCAGGAAAGCTACGGAACACAAAACAAAGAGTGAAGAGAGAGAGATCAGGCTGTGGACGTTGAAATGATGAAGAAGAGAATGGGCAAAGGGGTTGGAGAAATAGAAATCAATGGCTGACCAGTGAGTGAGAATATCGATTTGGATCTCAGATCTGAGTGAAGGTTGAGACTTGAGAGCAGGGGGGAATTGTGGGTCTTTTGCTGTCTGTCTCCTTGCTTCGGCTTTTTTGCCACCTCTCTCAATTTGGATAATAGTAAGTAGTAACAGTGAGTAACAACTAGCAACTATAAGCAGCAGCAGCTTTCAGGCTCTAATAATAATAGAGACCGACCGACAGACAGACGGATTCAAGATTGTAAACGCGTTTCTGTTCTTAGGAGGGATGGCAACAAAACCCGAAATCACGGGTACCCATGCGACCCAATCCGGTCAACGCGGGTAAAATTCGTGTTGACGGTTTTTGGGCTGTGTTTGGGTTTAAACTCGTTTATTATTCACTGGATTGGGTTGAGTTTGGATTTAGGTAAACCGGGTCCATGCGTACCTGCCCACACCCATATAATTAATTTTCTCGATATATTTAATATTCTAAACAACTAATCTTATTTATGTTTGTAGAGACATGTCTAATTTTTTCTTTTTAATTGTGTAGAATGAAGTTGATGTTATAAAATGAAGAGTGAAGAAACTCAATGAAGAACCTTTCAATTAATCATGTTATTTATGGATAATTTGTGATTTGCTTCAATTTTCTTGAGTTTTCTAGATTGGTGTTGAACAATTTGTATAGTTAATTTGTGATTTGCTTGAATTTTCTAGAACAATTTGTATAGTTAATTTGTGATTTGCTTGAATTTTCTAGAATGATGTTTTATATATGGATAAATTGTATTTAGAGATTTATATTTGACTTTAATTTTGATAAGAACTTGTTATTGTAAAATTTTTACGACAAAAACCCGTGGGTACCCATGAACCCACGGATACCCACCGGGTTGGGTTGGGTTTGAGTTTTTCAAACCCAGTGGGTTTTACCCCGGATTTTTTCACGGATAAACTCATGAGTTTGGGTTTGGCAAAACCCAACCCATTGTCATCCCTAATTGCTAGTGATGTAGCGTCGCGAGCAAATTTGGGAGGTGGGGCAGGGCGGGTACGCCTTTAGAATAGGGTCAGTAACCATTGGTTATTGATCTATGAGTAACTAAATCCGAATCTTTAGATGACCTAGAAAATCTAGATCTAAGGGTTGTCAATTAAAGACATTTTATTTTTCCTAGTTTTCATAATCGGCTCTTATCTTTTTCGTTCTAACTCGGATTTCAACTTTTTTTGCACAGATGGAACAAGTTCGTTGTGCTCTACAAAATGAGATCAATTTTCAATATATTTCGAGAAACTTTTTTTACCAACTACATACCATATGATAACTTTTTCGTTTTTAAGTCGTTTTTGAAAACGTTTGCTTAGAAGGAAAGAGTTCATCATGATCTATTAGATCTACAAATTTTGGGAGAAAAAAATACTAGACAAAAAATTATCATACTTTACCACTATGGTATGTGGGTGGTAACTTGTAGTAAACAATGATGAAAGTCGTAAATGATAGTTAGTATACTCCTACTATTATGTATTCAACCTTCTTACCATATTGCTATGTTCATACCATCATGGTACGCTTTTTTACCATATGGTATTAAATAGGAGTATGCCATATGGTAATGACTGGTAAAAAATTATTCAATTTTTTTATACTAAAAATATATCAAAGTGGATATCATTTTAAAGAGCACATTTAGTCTGATTTATCTGTGCAAAAAAATTAAATTTCGACTTAAAACGAGAGAGAAATCGTACGTTAAAGATTAAAGAGAAAAAGATAAAAACTTTCCAGGAGAGAGAGGGATACTGATGTCACGCTGATGTGGACGGGTTACTCATGGCTAGACGGGTCGATCCACTCTTACATGTTTTTTGGAAAAATTTCATGCAAATTTTATTTTTACGATAAAACAAAGGAAAAAAATAATTTATGAGTGAAAAATAGTGATAATAGAATGGGTAATTGAGTGAAACAAGTTGAAAGATTGACTCTAACTATTTGAAGAAAAATCAAAATAGCATAAATATGTATAGATACCGTAAAAAATTGAGATAAAATGAGTAATGAATGGGGTGGGGCAGGTCAGGGCAGGTCGGAAGTAGATACCTATGCCCCGCCTCACGCTACTTCGGGGCGGCTAATAAAATGGGTAATTGAGTGAAACAAGTTGAAAGATTGACTCTAACTAGTTGAAGAAAAATCAAAATAGCATAAATATGTGTAGATACCATAAAAAAATTGAGATAAAATGAGTAATGAACGGGGCGGGGCGGGTCAGGGCAGGTCGGAAGTAGATACCTATACCCTGCCTCACGCTACTTCGGGTCGGCTATCCTCAGCTATGGGCTCTGCAAATATCTTCCAATTTGTGCTCCTGTGGTATCTCCTTGCCTTCCCCTAAGCTCGCCAATGTGTTGGTTTCCTACCTTTGTTGGGATAACAATGTTCCTATTATATATGTTGATGTAATTTTGTTGGATAAAATTATAAATGTTCAGATAACAACATTAAATGTTGCATTTAAATATGAATATTTGTTATTTTATTTGAAATGTATTTTTTTATTATGAATATGAATTGCAAGTAAAGTATCATCAAATATGTATTGTATATGATTAAATTCATTTTATGTTAATAGTTTTCACATTTCTACATATTTTGTTAAATCGGCATGAACTAGCACATACCAGTTGTATCGATCGATATAAACTTGCATGAACCAGCACATATCGGTTTAACTTGCCAAACCAGTGCGACCTTATAAACAATTTGACAACCTTGCCTGATAGTGATACGTAAAAGATAGGAGTGGGGAATAGTAATAGTGAGGGATGAGTGGAGTGGAGGGAGGGAGAGAGAGGGAGTCTTTTAGACAAATAAGCGTCTCCATTCCAACCGTCAATCTTCTTGCCTGCTGATATCCAGTCTCCTTGCATTGGTCTTCTGCCATCTGACCGTCAAAGATTCCTCCTTGCAGCTCAGGCGCCGATCCACAAATGACGACAATAATAGCGGAAGTTGCCAGCAGCGCCACTTCAATCTTTCGATTTGGGTGAAACGATCAAGTTCATTGGGAATTTGACGACGATTGTGGATTGTCAGACCAATCTGCAGACTTGCATTAAAGTACTCGAGATTTAATGACATCTGGAGATCCAAGGAAGGAAGGTGAATGATCGGTCTTTCCTTTTCTTTCCTTGCTCTTTTAGACTATCCACAACAAGATGGGAAAAAGAGGGAAAAAGGTGGGAAATCCCACAATAGGGTAGGAAAAAAGGAAAGAAAGGAAAAAGTGGTAGGGTTTTCTCTTCACTAGAGGACAAATGGAGGAAGGAAAAAGAAAAAGGGGTTGGTGGGACCCGATGGTTTTTTTTTTCTTTTTCTTTTTTGATTGGTTTAGTTGTTTTAATTTGTGATTATAGTATGTTATTGGCTAACAATCATATTTTTCAACATTCATATTTTTTAACAGCAATATTTCCTACAATCTTATTTCCAACATCTATATTTTTCGTTATTGATGACGTTATATTTAATTAGTGATAAAAAAATTATGTTCAAATTAAAAAATTATATCGAAATGTTCATCTTAATTAATTATTACTGTTTATATAAAAATTAGGGCAAATACAATATAATATCCATAACTATTATGGATCAGGGATTTATATCCTCAACTATCAATATACAAATTAATATCCAATCATTAATTGTCCGTTAATACCCTAGTAGGTCTTTCTGCAATGCTGACCCGGCAAAAAAAAACTGAGGTGGAATTGAGAACGTGACATCCCTGTGGAATTGATTAAGTAAATAATAACATAAAACGTAAAAAATAAAACAAATATTACCCCTCCCCTCCTCTCACATCCATTCACCCAATTCTTATCCTCAACCCCTTCTTCTCTCATTTGTCCATCTCCCCCTTCGTCTGCAAAGACACGAAGTCGCCGACGAGGATCCACTCACTGTCCTGCAGGCGTGGCGGCGAGACTGCCATTGCCTGAGTCCCCCCTACCAAAAACCCCAATCCCTCTTCTTTCACCCATCGGAAGTAACGAATCGTCAATCCAAATCCCCAATCTTCGATCCAGGTCTGGAGAGCTCATCGTCGACAAGAAGCCACCACTGCCTCGGAGTACGCACCGGGGACTCCCCGGTATGCGACTCGGAGCTGCGCTCTATGCATCAGAGCTGGATCGAGGTCGGTGATAATCAACGCCTTCTGGAGTCGACGGCAGTCGCAGTACCGTAGGTCGGGACCAAATCCAGGTCAATAGTCTAGTGACCGTTGACCGAATCTATGAAATCGAGTCCATTTTCTCTTCCAGATCTAGGCTGCTCCTGAGTGGCGACTTTGCTGGAGAGGATGGCGCATGAGCTCTGCCAGTCGGATCTGCTGCGGATGATGCCAGCGGGACAGTTGACGGAGTCGTAGGAGCGGTGGATGCAGTGGACGACGAGTGGTGCTGCCACGGCGGAGGGACGGCTAGTCCCGATTAACGAGGAGTTGAGAGACGATAGAGGCTGGGTAGGGCGGAGGAAGCTAAGTGACGGTGGAGGAAGATAGGGGAAGAAGAAGAGGGAGACAGGGGAGGGCGGAGGAAGCCAGGGGACGGTGGAGGAAGATAGGGGAAGAAGAAGAAGAGGGAGAGAGGGGAGGGCGGAGGAAGCAAGGTGACGGTGGAGGAAGATAGGGGGAAAAAGAGGGGAGAGTGGTTGAGTTTTTTTTTCAACTTTAATTTTTTAATTTAAAAATAAAAATTATATATTTAATTATTTGCTGATGTGGACGCCAATATGGATGCTGACATGGCAGTCTCCGTTACAAATTTAACGGTGGTAACAGACTGTTAGCCATATCTTGACCCACAACTATAGTTATGGATATTAATTTGTATATTGATAGTTGAGGATATAAATCTCCGATCTATAACTATCTTAATAAAGTGATGAGATCAACACTAAATTGATTTTGGCAAAAAAAAAAAAAACCCTTATCAATTACCCTATTTTTCCTTCCCACCCATTGTGGCCAAACCCTTTCCCAAACCATCATTTCCCTATTTTCCCACCCAAATTTCCCTCTTTTCCCTTCCACCATTGTTGATGGTCTTAGAGAGGAAGGAAGAATGAGACGTAGCAAGAAAAGAGAAATAGAGAGTAGGCATAGGTAGGGATGGCAACCCAACCCATGGTTGCGGGTATCCGACCGCCCCCGACCCAGTCAATGCGGGGAATTCTCGTTTTGACTGGGTATGGGGCGGGTATGGGTAAATCCGCAAAAAGTTAGATGGGTATGGGGCGGGTATGGTTTTAGCCTCCCCAGCCCCATATCCATACTCATGCCCGGCCCACCAAGAGAATTTCTTCACATACAAAAAAATATGTGGATAAAATTGTAACCTATAAATGATAATGGATGTAACCATACCCATACCCATTTTCCTCAATTCTCTGTTTACTCTTTCACTTTTCCCTTTGTCAATAAGATTATGTTAGTTAATTATTAGTTAGTAGATGTATTAGAGTAAGAGCATAATAATTTGAAAAATATTATACTATGTATTATGTATTAACGGATGTTTTAGTATCATATTCTTTGAACCACATTAAGAAAATGATCGTATTTTGTTGACTTCATGATATAGTAGGTTCATTTAGTGTTATAATTAAAAAATTTCTAGTAAATTTTTAGGTATAATAATGTTGGATGTACGGAGCGGGTATTACCCATGGGTACCCGAAATCCAAGGGTATGGGGATGGGATTGCAAAATGTTCCCCGCATGGGTATGAGGCGGGTATGGGTTTGGGTATTTGTAAACGGGAATGAGGATGGTTTAGGCAAACTCACCCCATTGCCATCCCTACGCATAGGAGGCTGGGAGTTTTTCTCCATCATCACTTACCTCTATAATCCTTTCGTAAAGACAAAATTTCCCCTGCCAATTCCTAAAAATTGGGAGTTCTGACATTGCATCGTCCTTGCGAAGTAAATACTAAAATGGAAGTCAAGGATAATCGAACGCATGTCCCTTACTCGTAATGAACATCCACAAACACTAAGCTACTACATTTAAATTTGTTACTGTTAATAAGTGATAACACCGTATTTACACTTTTCCCCCGATATTTTTGGATCGTTTGGCTTAGCATTTGATTGTTTTGTGGCCTATTTTACGCTAGGTAGTTGTTTTTCATGATATTTTAGGTCCTAGTTCGTGAATGGAGGCTTGGGAGCAAGTTTCAGGACATTTTGGAATTTGGAGTGATCAGGCAGAAATCAGCTTAAACTCACAGCAAGGAATTCAAAGTTACGATCTCGGCCGTAACTCTCTAGCTCATACCATAAATTTACGATCAGGAGAAGCAGAGCACCTTTTAAAGTTACGGGCAAAGATTAAAAGTTACGGCCTTGACCTTAACTTCCCATGGAATACCTTAACTCATGTTTTACGCGATAAAGACACGTCAATGTTTTGGGAAGTTACAGGCGGAGGACAAAAAGGTACGGCCATAACTCACAATTCTTCCACATACAAAAGGCCAACTCCGACAATTTGGAAGGGTTCCGGTTTTGCAAGTTCTGAAACAGCTAGAGAGAGAAAGTGATGAAGAACAACCTTGTGAAGGATTGGAGCGATCTAAGAACATTGGAGCTTAATCTTTTTACGAATAAACCGATAGGTTTGAGTTTGAGTTTAGCAAAACCCAATCCAAACCCGACTCATTGCCATCCCTAATCCCAGCAAAAGTGTCACAAAACATCAGTAATCGAACAAAAGAATACATGAAAACAGATAGAAACTCATGATCAGTAATCAAAAGGGAAAAGATCATACTCTGTGAGCCGATAAACTCTCCCCCTGGGCTGCGTTGTGCAACAGTTTGATTTGTTGTTGTACTTGTAACAAAAAAACATTTTCAACAATTTCTTCATAAACGTGAAAATAAAAATATTTTTGAAGTTTGGCAACTCGCTGAGAAAACAAACTCCGGTTCAGATTTGGTCAGCTGTTGCCATGTGACCACATCCATTATTATTCTTTGTACCGAAGCATTTTCCATCGCATAACAAAGGTGGGCTAGTCAAGAAAACAAAACGAGACCTAACAGTGTTTCCTCCATGGAATGCTATAATTGGATAGAAATGTTAAGCAAAGAACTGAACTGGAATGGGCCAAAGTTAACTGGTTTAGAACTGAACTGGTTCCATGAGTGCTCTCTCCATCTGCTTTGCCCTTGTCTTAATGGACATGTCAAACACCTTCTGTGAGAACTCAACCACAAGACCACCAAGGATGCTAGCATCAATCTGGGGGGAAAGAAAGAGTAGAACAGAGAGATTCGGTGAGCTGAATGTCCTTTCTAAGTTCAGTTGGATATCAGAAGGAACTAACTAGTGTTCCTGTGAACGAATATGCAGCATGTGTACCTTCTGCTCAAGTGTAACCTGCTTCCCTTGTCCAATAATCAGCTGTAGTGTCTCCTTCAGCTCTTTCTCTTCCGATGGGGGGAGGGGCTGGTTGGTAAAGTACAAACATGCAATATTGTCAGACAATAAAAGCAAGACAGATTCAATCCCAACAAACTGATAAAAACCATATATGTTTTTGCATTGAAGATCTATAGAACTAACAATAAGCCCTAATGGCAGGCCACTGAATCCGAATAACTTCTCGGCCAGCACTCTTATCCCAACTCATCAGTCCAAATTTCTGCATTCTTAAGCATCGTGTTTGAAGTAAGATTAAAGCTCCCAAGTTATTTCCCATAATTGGGGAGTAATTTATCATTTCCCAATTATCTATATAATGCATCAAACTCAAAAGGCTGAAACATTTATGTTAGTCTACTACTAGAGCTGTGACAGGTTCATGGTTAATTTAATAAATCTAAAAAGAAAGCAACAGTTGCTACAGAAATCAGGGAGCCATGCAAAGAAAGTTTGATGCATTTCAAAGTAAAACTCACCATAACCGTTGTCACAGTAGCTTTGACAATTCCCTTATCAGCCATTGTCAGCTCTGCAAACTTCTTAGCTATTGTATCAATGGATCGCAGCCTTCCATTCTCAGCAAGAACAACTGGTCCAAAAATCAATTATAGTAGCTATCTCTCAGCATCAAAATCCAATACAAAAGCTAATTATGTACAATGTTCAAGTTTCACTTTAAGCACATCTCAGATTCCAAAGAGAGTCGCCATTGTAAAGGTAAAAAACAAAAAGTCAAAGAAAGAAATCAGGAGCCTGACACATAAGCACCATTAGGTGAATTCCCTCTGCAACTCAGGCATGCTTTAGTAACAGCAGACTGAACAGCAGCTAAAGCTTTGCATAGTAATGTAATGAGGAATGACCGAGCTTTACTCAGGTGCATCAACCTTGAAGTTATATAGAAGCAACAGTGAACATGATCAATTGAATGGCCCAGTTGAAGGTCTATGTAGAAGTGAATTGACAGCCATGAAGCCTAATCTAAGGAGTTACATCCTATTGTTCTAGAAACTTAAAAATGATAAGTTTCAATGCCCATGCAAGCAACCCATGTTTACGCTTTCACGCCAGTTTAATCTAAGTCAAGCGCAACTCTTATATACAAACTACCATTCGGTGAGTGGAATAAAAGTATAAAACATCCCACAACATGCAACAAGCATAGTGCCAGTTCTTATGCCTTGAGCCAATACGATATCCAGGTAAATGATAAAGAGACACTATTATTTTTGTCATTTAGAAAAGAAAGGTGCATCCATAATGAGAAAGTCCAACGTATAATTCACCAGATTACCCAACAAGTCGACACCAGGTGGTCAATAGATGGACCATGATGATAGGATGATAGGAATAAATGATAAGAGAAGACAATCATAATGACAAACAAATAACTTTTGTCTGGCAGCAGTATATGAAGAGGTATGCTTCACTAGCATAAACAAGGAGCTTTGAGACCTAAAACCTTCTAGTGTAACAACAAGCACAAACAAAAATTGAGTATAACAGAATAGAAAAGTATTCAGGTAGCAGGAAACCAAAAGTAATATCTACTTCCCAAGATGAATACTAGTTCCTACTTGGAGATTCTTACTCAGGAAGGTCTTGGTAACTTGTGAAAATTTGGCTTGTTCAGCTATGTCAGTAATGGCCTTGACTCTCGTATCAGCAGGCACTGACAAGTCCTTCGTAAACTGAGAAAATGTAGGACTTTTCTCCAAAGCCTGAACAAGATCAAGTAGTTCAGCCTCGACTTTATCCAGCACATTAGCCTTCTTGGATGCAATGTACAAAGCAGAGGCATAGTTTCCAGCTCCCCCATACAAAGCTACTGGCAGCTACATGAAATATAGAAACCATTAGAGGAAGATTATACAATGGAACAAGAAAGTTTGATTTTTTTGGTACATGCTCTACATCCAAACACTTCTTCGACAGACCCAACCCTACTGCTCAACATTTTAGGTGCTGAAGTCAAAAACATCTCCCAATTAACAGGCCCATGTATGTATACAGATTCACAACATATAGAAGTTCAAAGAACAGATGATCCAGTCTCGAGCGAGTGAGTTAAACACACCAAATCACCTCATAGAGAGTTTAAGAGTTATTCAAAATAGCATAACAAGACAGGGAAGGGAAACATTTGAACAGGTTAGTGAATGGCCAAAACCTCATACAGAAGTTAGACTATGACGCAAACAGGTTTATGAGACCCTGCATCTGAAAAAGGAATTCACAAGGAAATAGCGAACACACATATATACACAAGGGAAAGAAAAAAAACTGGCATTAGACATGCCCATGAATTCAAATACCTTAATTTTCTGTTCCTTAGGAGGTGCAGCTGCGGTGGCATAATACCTGGATGACTGCAAGAAACCAGATCACGTTAATCATAAGCGTAAAAGCAAACGAAGTATAATCAGCCCCCGCGAGAGAACCACTTCAAGAAAACTTATCTTCAACATTAAACTCAAAACGAAAAAATGAAGCCTTCCACAAGAGCACAAGGGTAAAATCCAGTGGAAAAATGCTGTTACGTGAAAAAATATGCTCAATCCGATGACATTACAACGATGATACACGCAGCTCCTATGGGTTTCAAACTCTAGAAAATCAAATTGGCTGAGGGATTCAGAAGTCAGAACTACTCTCTATTTAGACACTGTCCGTATTCGCAAAATTGGAGGGAAAAAAACTGGTTCTCCGTTTCTATTACCTCAGATGAAGAAGCGAAGACCGGGGACTGTAGGGTGCGGTGAACGGCGGCCTTGTGAGGAGCGAGAAAAGAATCGGATCTGGCAATCCTGTTGATGAGAGGAAGAGCTGATCTAATACGCCCCGCCATTGTTACCTGTGAGTAGAGGGCTTGGATTGAAGAGACGAGGTTAGGTTGAGAACGAAAATGAGGGGGTTTTTTTTTTTTTGGAGAACAACCTTGATTCCGGACTTTCGCGTCTGCAAAGAGAGAAATCAGAAAAGGGAAAGAAAGGTGGATCGGGCCCTGCAGTTGATCCGGGAAACCAGTAACCAGCCTCGGTCCGACCTAGTTTTACTTGAAGGGTAACCCTCGGTCGGACCTAGTTTTACTTGAACGGTAACTTAGGGGTCGTTTGGAAGTTGTGAATGTTAAATCGTTGCATTGTAATGAATCACAGCAAAATAAATACATGTATTGGTACAAATGAATACATTTTAATAATACATTGTATGGTTGATGAGATTTTATTTTATGTATTGACTAACATAAAGTTACTTTATGTGAAAATATCACATTTATCCTCAACTTTTAGTATCAGACAAAAAATAATAGGAATATAAATGAAAAGAAAAAGAGGACACAAATCTACGATCAATAATCTCAACAATCTCAACTTTTAGTTAAGATTGTGCATCATTTTTTGTGATTGCTGGTGGGACGTACCTAAAACAGTACATGCATTGTTTTACACTTTGACACTTCCAAACATTGTATTGTGGACAATGCATGTATTGAAAAAACACAACTCTAACATTCACAAATACCAAACGACCCCTTAAGTAACTTAAGGAATCACATTTTAGACAAATTGAGTGATCGTTTTACAATATCTTACAATATTCATTGTTTGGTAACTTTCATGGTTAAAATTCAATAAAAAAAATATGAATTCTATTTGTATCAAATTACATGTTTACACTTAACCAAAAGAATTAGAGTGGCTCAAGAAATATTTGAAATTTTATTAGTATTGATATGTATTGGGATAAATAAACAAAGAAACATATAACGTAGTAGAAAAATAGGGTCGGGATCCGAGCATCTTATTGAACCACCAATCTAAAAAGTTTATGGCCCGTTCACTTGCCATTCTGTTTTTCATAATTGTAGCAGCAGAAAAAAAAAATTAAAATAAAAATGAAGTTGTCGTTTCCTGAGAAATAAAACCTGAAGAAAACTTGTTTAATCGAGAATGACTTATCCAAGTCATGTACAGGTAATCGAACTACTCATCCAAGTCGTTTGCACTTTTCAGCTACCCACGATCAATGTGTCAAATAAAAAAAGGGTTTAAGATTTAATAGTAGGCGATGGTTAACTGACAATAACATTGTTCCTATTGGGTTCAGATCCCCAGATCTCATTTCTAAGTAAAAGTTTGTTTTAAAGTAAAGAGAGAGTGCTTCGATGGTTGAACACAAGAGGATTAAAATTGAGACTATCCATGGTTCTCTTGATTCAAGGATGTGTGTTGCAAGTACAAATTTGGTTAGTGCTTGACAAATTAGGAGTGATGTTCCACATACAAGATCGCACATGGGCTCCTAGCCCAATTTTTAATCCTTGGGACAATTGGCTTGATCTCTTACAATCAGGACCCGCTTATCAATCACAACTAAAATTACTATAATAGAGTAGAGTACGGCTGAGTCCGGCATAAGGCTAGACAGGTCCAGCGATCGATTTGCTTTGTCGTGATATCCAAATATTATCAAACACGACCGAAACAACCACTAAAGGGTTGAAATGATGGTTGTTTGGGCTGTGTTGGATTACTTTTGGTATCTGGTAAGAGCATTAATACTTATACCCCTAGCAATGATAAGTAGATCAATGCTAGACTTGTACTAAAGTGGCTCCATCATATTTCAAGGTAACCCTAGGCTTACTATGACTTCACTCAAAACTACTATCTAATCAGATGGAAAAATTGGGTTAATGACTAAACTAACCTAACTAACTACACAACCAAGTAGTTGGGAGGTCGCTAGAGATGAGATGGTTGTCTAGGATCGAATCCTTCTAGTTATAAGATAGGTAGTCGATTTATTTTACTGAAAATTCATGGTGCGAATGTTATAGAGTGGGTTCGGTGCAATGGACATGTCTCTCGACCCCCTCCTAGCCAAGTCCACTGACCTATTGTCACTTCAACCAGTTTTCCTAACTAGGAATAAGTCATATATCCTCTAAACAAGTCTAACTCATCCGCACACAAGCCTGACGAGTCAATGGTCATGGAATCATTTAGCAAGCATCATCTAGGTGAGCTCCTAGTTGGAAGGGGATATCCACCTCATCTACCAAGCAGGACTCTCAATCAACTAACATAGATAGGATACATTCATTCACACATAATCAAGAACTAACCTAGGGCTAACCTATGGCTTATTCATGTCATATACCAAATCATGCATCCACACCATAGCTAGAGAAATTGAAAACACTAGACGAATACAAAATATGTCATATATAGCATTCAATCAACAAAACCCAGCTACAAACCCACTTACATACCAGAATTCATCTTCCCTAACCAACCTCATGGGTTCAATTCATAAAGAAAGAAAGGAAATACAAACTATAGAGATGAAAAGATTTAAATCTTCTTCTTCATGAATTGCACCCTCTTCCTTGTATCTTGGATGGATTCTTCCTTCCTTAGCTCCTCCAAGGGGTTTTCTCTCACAAAAAACTTCATAAAACCCTAATTTTTTGCTCTAAGGCGACACTTCCCTTATGCAATTGTGAAACCCTCTATTTACATGAGTTCAACAACACATAAGAGATCATGGTTGACTCAAGTGAGTTTGAGGGCGAGATCTCTTAATTCAGGTCGTGATCTCCAACTGGTGTCGCCTTTGGCTGCTCGAGAGGTGATATCGCGGACCAGACTTCATGGTCGCGAATTAGAAGTCACAACAACAATCTTTTTGTGGTCTTGAATGTGAAGGCCCATGTATTGGACTGTGATTCCTTTTGTAATCTTCTAACAGCTACCTCCTTGAGATTGCGGCCAGGTGATCTGACTTTGCAATAGCAATCCTGTGCTATGGTCGTGATCTGGTCAAGTCCTGGTCACTTACCGGTCGTGATCTGAGCGCCTTAGTTGCTTTCTCGGGTTTGCCATGTGCTCTCGGTGAATCCCAAATTGATTTCAATCAAGTATAGTACCTGAAATATCATCAAAGACACCAAGCAAGTATAAAACATGGCAAAATGAGGTAGTTTCCCCATGGTGAACCATCATACCAAACTAAATTATGCCAAAACTCATGGTCGAAGTATAGATAGCATGATGAGGGCATCGACACCGACACTAAGGCGATCACAATGCCAACATTTGAATCTCAAAGTCCAACCACTAAAAGCCAAACCAAAGCATTCAAGGGTCAATTTCAAGCTTATTTGGCCAAGAACTTTGCAAGTATGGAGCCCGAGATGTTCGTGGGATAAGAGGTGCTGTCTATCTTAGTGGAGTCATGTCTGGACGAATCCCTGGGCATGGAGGAAGCGACCCCCGGTCGGGGAATGAAAACCACGAGCGGGGATCACGTCTAGGAGGACCCTCGGCCCTGAAACCCACAACCTCCGACCGGGGAATGAAAGAGCGTGAGCGAGGATTGAGGCTGGTGCCGAATTGCAACTGCCTTGTTTTTAGTTTCTTTTCCAATTTGGTTTCTTGAGACTTAAGCTATGGTTTTCCTTGTTAATTTTGGCCTAAAACTTAAGTAGCCTATATAAGAGATTGGCCGAATTCTTATAATGGTTAATGAACAATTTTATTCAAACAAGAAACCTAGAATTTGAGTGTTCAACACCAAAATTTTCATCTTTTTCTTTATCATTCGTGGAATCGGATCAGTAAGAAGAGACCCGATGTTTTCTGCTAGCAAATCATCCTAGCCGAATAATGATTCATATACCTGGCCCTCTTCCCGACGTGTGGATTAGATTTGGGTTAATTTTCGTTTTGTGATCATTGTGCTTCTAATCGATCTTTGCTGCGTTTTTTATTGCTTAAGCCTAGGAGTTCGAGCCTCGACTTATATCAACACATATTGGCCTAAATTAGTTTGCTATATGGTGTACACATGATATTTTAGTACACAAATGCCTCCATAATGGAGGTTAGACAAATCTCCCCACACTTCCGCAATTTTTTGTCCCCGAGCAAACATACAATCAAACCATGCAACTTGAGGCGTCTAAATCCCCCAACACTTGAAATGAATTGTCAGATGTGGGACACAAATGACTAGGGGTGCCTCGACCATCTATAGTCACATTTGACCTACTTGAAACGTCCTCGAAATAGTGTCAAAAGTGGAAGGGGGTAGACACAAGGCATAAATCAAGACTCTCAACTATAGCTAAGAAGAAAAAATGCTCTATACGGTTATGTTCTCCACGTCCACCACAATCGTTAAACAACTTTTTGTTTTTTTTCTTCTTTCTTTTGGGATTGTAGCATCTCGAAAGTTTTGTTTCATCTTAGAGCGGGAAAGTAGGGGAGTTATTTTTGCGCTCTTTCCGTCTACCTATACCTCGGCCCTTGTGAAGGAGCCACAACATGAGGATGACCGACCTTCGAATGGTAGCGAGCTGACACTAACTCAAGCAAATAAAAAATTGGTTTTGATTACTTTTTATTAAGAAAATAGATGCCAAAATTAATAACATTATACACGCAAGGGTACGCTCATCATGTTGAAAAATTAACGACCAACCAAAACACCCTGCCTCCAAATCATTTTTCCGCCTTCTATCACCATCTTCTTTTTTCCTACCTTGTTCCACCGAGGGAACCCTCACACCATCGGCCTTCACCTTTCGTCGTTTCCATGCCTCATCCGACATTTCGAGGTTTGGCTCTTCTCAACTATTTCTCTTCTTCACATGCGCGCTTTCATTTTACGAGCACCTCTGTTTTGATTTAGGTTGGGAATGATAAGTTGTTCAGCGGAGCATTGATGACACCTCATTTATAATGTTTGTCACTCTCATTCTTGATACATTTCCCCTTCTACCAATGCATCTTTAGTCATTTCAATTATATTTTCTTATCTGAATCATAACTATTTGATCAATTAGCCTTTAATAGACCCAATATATGTTTTTTTACTCTTCGATGCCTTCTGGGTATGTTTTAGTTGGTTTTGAAGGTATAAAGCAACACAGGGAAGTTTGGGTCAAGAGAGAACTCTAGAAGACCAAAAGAGCTATAAAGAAAAGAATATGGAGTTTTTGTGAGAAATATGAGGTCCAATGATGGAGAAGTCAACTAAAAGTTGCTTAACAATCTCAAGACAAGCCCATAGAAAGAAGACTCGCCCCAAATTGATGAAGAAACTAGCGCAGACCCAGCATTATGTCCAACCGCCGTCGGAGGAGGCTTGGTCAAGAGGTTTCCAAACTGCAAGAGAAGATACATGACTATTTTGAAATTGGGATGGCTCAAATGAGCCTAGCAACAAGCGTTGTCGTCCAAAAAACCATATAGATGACTAGGAAATGAGGTAATAGCATTTTGTGCTCCTCTACTATCGCAAATTAATAAACATGCTTATACTATATTTTTGCACAGATGCACCCTTCTAATACCACAACGTAACGAAAATACCATTCTGTTAAAAATACTGTGAAGTGGCTGTTAACTAGGGTGTGAAGCGACCCAATCACCCCTAAACTGAAATTAAAATTTAATGCAAACGGATTAAAAAATCCCTAATATATTTCACAAAAAATCCGTAAATCTAATCTCATTCTCCCCCAGAGCGCTCGACGACCTTACCACCCAGTCCGAGGGTTACCTTCCCACCCACTCCGGCGTTCGCTCTTCACCTCCGCCGTCCACAAAATCCTACTGGCGCGCTGCTACTCGTTGGGCGCCAAGCTGATCTCCGTCCACCAACTCTGTTAGCGAACTAACCACTTGGCCCCAATAACTCGAGTTGTTGGGAAAGGGATAATTAAGCCTTTTAACCTCTTATACGCCCCCTCAAACGAAAGCCGATGCCGAATTGTGGATTTTTACGGTTTGCACAGGTTGAAACCTTGTGCTGCCAAACCACGAGGCTTTAGTTTGCACAGGTTGGACATACCATCCCTTGTGCTAAACAAATGGCTGAAAATGGGGGTCGTCATGAGGATTCGAAACCATGACCTTTCGATTCTAGGCTCTGATACCATGTTAGCGAACTAACCACTTGGCCCCAATAACTCGAGTTGTTGGGAAATGGATAGTTAAGCCTTTTAACCTCTTATAAACTCCGCCGACACCTATCTGATCGCGAAGCAGAATCGGACCTAGCAACGTAGGAGCAAAACTTCTGCGTTGGCGACGGAGGAGCGGTCAACATCGGTCTCTATTCAGATGGAGGGAAGGTGGCCGCATGAGTGATTACTCCCTATTCAGATGGCGGGAGAAGGCTACCTCGAGCGTCACTGGAGGGAGGCTTTCGCTTGATCGTGTTTGCCGGCTGCAACTTCACCAACGTTTGGACAAGAAGCAATTGTGAGGGGTGGGGTTTTCTCACAAGTGAAAATGGAGGGATGGTCGGATGGAACAAATGACATTTAATTAGGAAATTTTGAATTTTCTTGGACTCAATTATATTAAATTATAGTTTTAATTAGGGGTAACACGATCATTTTCCATCCCAATTAACGACCACTTGACAAAATTTTCAACGGAAAGGTATTTTCATTACGTTGTGGTATTAGAAGGGTACGTTTGTGCCAAAATATAATACAGGGGCACATTTGTTAATTTGCAATATTATAGGGGCATAAAATGCTATTAACCCTTTGGGAAATACATTTTAAAATGGTTATATACTTATATTTTGAATTTACTTCTTCTATGTATTATTTTTGTAAATAACTCTCCATTGAGAAGCACTTAAAAAAAAAGTTTAGCGTTTAGCTGAAAAAATAGTAGAAGTGCATTTTAATATAAGAGGCTATGTAATATGACTATAAGGGAATTATAATATAAAATTAAAATTGTAAAATGGATTTTGGTTTCTTTTATATTAAATAAATTATAGAAAATTATATTTTCTGCCATAAATTAAAATATAGTAAAGATAATATTATATTTTTAAAATAGCTTTTCGCAGAAGCTCCAAATTGAAACTTCTGCTTTTATGTAATATAAAAACACTTTCCAACTTTTCAAAAGTCGAGCTTTTAGAGGTATTTGATCCTACTTTAGTTTTTTAAACCAAAAAACACTTTTAAAAACGGCCCAAACATAGGCATAGTCTGTCTAGAATACTCACAACAAATAACTCACTTTAAATCTAAAAATTATAAGATGGTGGAGTTTTGCAGGATTCTCACCATTTCAATCCTTGTTTCTCCTTAATTGTAAGTAGGGTATAAAAATAATTATACCTTGACTATAAAATAAAAAAGATTATCTCCTTATTTTTAGTAGTGCACGCAATAAACTCGGAGAGAGAATATAAAAGATGTTTAACATTTTAAAAAAATATTTTTTACAAAAAGGTTTCTTATATTTTTTGGAATATTATTTGATTATGAACTCTAAAATTAATTTAAAAATGTCTATAATAAAAAAAATTTATATTTATTTTGTACAACACATTCCTTCATTTTATGCTTTTGCAATATCATTTAATTTTCATGATCAATCTGTGACCCTTTACTAATATAATTTTTATTATGTATTTTAAATGAACTGATAGTCTGGTATTGTATTGGATTGTTTTGAGTTTTTTTCTAAAATTTTTGTAAACTAATTCTCATGGAAAAATTATTTTTTTATGACTATATCAATATAGCTACAAATTAACAATTGAGTACTAATTCATCCGGAAAAAATATAACCACAAATTAAGTTTTTTAGTAGAAGATATTGAAGTTGTGTTTGATGTTAGTATTTAATTAATATGATGGTGTGGTAAAAACTCCAAAATGCTTATAGAGTACAGAGTCCGGTTATGGATAATATAGATGGTTTACATACTATAAATATTACTGAGAAAAAATTAAATTAGACAAGGTGGTGTTGATAATCACTTTTGTTTTCTTAATATCTTAGTTCTTTTTATTTCATTTTTATTTCAGGTTTATTCTTAGTTAAGATCTCATTTTTAGAGTGCTTCCTGTTCTCGGTTAAGCTATATTGTTTACAATTATCATTGATTTTCAATAATTCTATATGAGTTCACAAAAATAATTGATTAAGAGCATTTATAGAATCAATATATGGGGTACATCACATCCTTTTTTCTTTAGAAACGGTACATCACATCCTTTTGATTTTAGCATTAAGGATAAATAATTTAGTAATCGACTATTTTTGTATAATTAAAACAATAACAAATTAATTTTTTGTTGATTTAATATTTAATGAACAATTCAAAAAATTTTGTAAACTCAAATATTCCGGCCAACCAGCGGGGCATATGGTAATATATGGGTAGATGATGAAGACTACCAGTTGGCCAGGAGGAACCGAGCACCCATGACTGGCTCTACCCTATGAGAGAGTTCCTTCACCCAGCCATAACTGTACCCGCCAAAAACCAACTCCTGCAACTCAATCGTCGACTCGCCAGTTTGATTCGTTCCAGCCATTTTCAAGATGCGCTCCATCTGTTCGACGATTTTCGTTCGTTCCATCAGCATCTCAAACCAGACCAGTACACCCTCTCCACAGCCCTCACCGCATGCGCCAATCTCCGAAACACCGCGTATGGCAACGGGCTCCACGCCTACGCCGTTAAATCCGGCCTGCACTCCCACCTCCACGTTTCGAATACGCTGCTTCTGCTGCACGCCAGAGCTCGGGATGCTAGCTCCATGAAACGGGTTTTCGCGGAAATCGGAAACCCTGATGCGTTTTCTTATACTACGGTGTTGTCGGAGTGTTCCAAGACGGGGGATTTGAAGTATGCTTTTGAGCTGTTTGATAAATTGCCTCAGAGAGACGTGCCCGTTTGGAATGCGATGATCACCGGGTGCGTGGAGAGTGGGAACGAGGTGATCGGATTTGGGCTGTTTAGAGAGATGATTAGGTCAGGAGTTATGCCTGATAATTACAGCTTTGGAAGTGTTCTCAGCGGGTGTTGCTCTGAAAGAGTCGAGTTACGGAGCCAGGTACATTCACTGTTGATCCGAACTGGTTCTTTGGCGAGAACTTCTGTTGTGAATGCTCTAATTACCATGTATTTTACTTATGAAGAATTCGGTAATGCCCTCTTGGTATTTGAGGAAGTAGCAGACGAGTTGCGCAATCATATCACTTACAATGTTATGATTGACGGTTTCCTAAGTGCTTTGATGGTTGATGAGGCCATCATTATATTTAGGGAGATGCTGGGCTGCTGTCTTAGACCTTCTGAATTGACTTTTATGAGTCTCATCAGCTCCTGCTCCTGCCCTAGAATCGGATGTCAAGTTCATTCCCAAGTTATCAAAACGGGGTTTGAAGCTTACACCCCTGTTTGCAATTCACTTATATCTATGTATGCAAACTTTGGGGACTTGGTTGCAGCTTGCATGATCTTTGAGAGACTGGAAGATAGGGATGATGTATCATGGAATGCTATGATATCTGGCTATGCTCAATCTAACCTTAGTGGATCAGCTATTTCCACATACATGGAAATGCAGAAGACAGAGATTTTTAGACCTGACGTGTTTACATATGGAAGCTTATTAGCAAGCTCAGATTCTATAGCGACTCTGGAGATGTTTCATTGCACTGTAATCAAAAGAGGACTAGTTTCAAGCACTCAGGTGTCAAATTCACTGATTTCGGGATACTGCAAACATGGCAATGTGAAAGAAGGACATAAAGTATTTCTAGACATGTCATCTAGAAGCTTGGTCTCTTGGAATACTATCATGTCAGGTCTCTTGTTAAATGGGCTTCACATTCAAGGCATGCAACATTTCTCTCGACTAGTAATGTCAGGATTTCGCCCGAATGAATATGCCCTCACCATTGCTTTGAGTCTATGTGCAAGCATGTCAGCTATAGACCAAGTAAAACAGATACATGCTTATATCCTGAGATTTTGGTCTGGTCTAAAAGGGGCTTTAGGTAATGCCCTGATCACAACTTATTCGAAATGTGGCCTTCTTGATTGGTCTTCGAGGGTCTTCAGTGCCATGACTCATAAAGACTTAGTCTCCTGGAATGCCCTAATATCTGCTTATGCTGAACATGGAAATGGGAAAGAAGCTGTGCAGTATCTCGAAGCAATGGAACACTTTTCATTAGGGTTTGGTCCTGATGAGGCTACCTTCACAACTGTACTCTCTGCGTGCAGCCATGCAGGCTTGGTTGCTGATGGCACTCGAGTTTTCCACTCAATGGTCGATAGATATGGGATTAAACCCAGCTTAGATCACTTCTCTTGCATTATTGACCTTTTGGGTCGAGCTGGGGAATTTGGTGAGGTGGAGACGGTAATAAACAGTGAGCATTTTATAGCTCATCCCAATATCTGGTGGACACTGATCAGTGCTTGTGCTGCACATGGTAATTTGGAATTGGGAAGGCAGGTAGCCGGGTTTCTTCTCGAAACTGAACAACACAATGCATCTGTTTATGTGCTGTTATCAAACATATATGCAGGCGCTGGTCAGTGGGAAGAAGCAGCTAACGTGAGGCAGCAGGCGGAGAAATTTGCGACGATGAAGCAGACTGGCTACAGCTGGGTATGCACATAATACTATGGCCCTCCAAGTTTTGGAAGGCTTAAGGCTTTCAACACTTAAGTTAGTAAGGAGACTTGGATTAAGATAGGGAGAAATTGTAGAGAACAAGGTGATCGCCTTCTTTACCCATGAAATTGGTATTCCTTATAGAGGGTGCCCAGTGTTGTAAACTTGGGGAAGTGTCTGCTTATCGAGAATCCAATGTCAAGAATCTATTGTCTGATGTGGATGGTATGCATGAGTTTCTTCATTTACAAGAGATTTTGGCTCGGTTCAGTTTCTAGTTAGCGGACGATTCCTTCTAAGCTGGTCACTCATGTAAGCTTGAGCATTGTTAGTCTGGTCTGAACCCATGAACTCATGACCAAAAATTGAACAAAGGCAACGTCTATAATCGTTCTATTGATGATGGGTACTGTCTATAATCATTCTATTGTTGATGGGTACAAAGAGTAGGCATCTTATTGCACTAGAAAAGAGTATTTGGTCTAGTTAAGCATCTTATTACATATACAGGCACAATGTATCCTAATTTTTGCACACTTAGTTTCTGGGAACACACGTAGAATGTTCAAGTACAATCCACAAAACGGTTTCATCTTCTACCAGGAAATGAGCTCGTGAACATGGAATTCAGAACATGGTAGCATATTCGGTCCAGTGATAGTGCTGTGAATTTGATTTCAGTTAAGAGGAGGAGGTCGGTAGACGGCTGGAACTGTTGCAGGGAAGAACATTTGCCTCACTCCTTCAGCTTTGATAATAGGGAAGATGATACCTGAAGCGCTCTGTGGAAGAAAAAAAAAAACAACGAAAATTTACAGTAATCAGGCGAGTGAGATTCATTACAAAACAGAAGAAAATAAAGAGACTTTGCATATGTTAAGATATCGAAAAGTGCGTACCGAGATGAGTCTAGCTCCAATCCAGAAGCCTTTAGGAGATGGAAACGGTAAGAGCAGCCGGCCAACTCCATAGATAGCGACCGCGAAAAAGTGAAGAACTAAGCTCATGGGTCGTGGGTTCAAGCCAGAGAGTAAGGCCACTGGCCCAGACGAGCAAACTCCTCCCAAACTCAGATAGTCGAAGCAAGCTTCGCGCATTTCCTTCCTGGCCTCGTCAGGGGAAGCGGAGAACACCTTGTATAAGGCGCCTGCCAGGGTGTTGATAGTAGAAGCCACGGGCTGTAAGGAACAACCACGTTCATAACAACATTACTTAGAAACTGTGAGAGGCAACATAATATGGCAGAAGAATGCACAACTGTTTGTGAGATACATAAAGAAGTTCACTTCTTTCCAAAACCAAATAGTATCCAAACCTTCCGCAGGGTGTAGAAGGATTCGAGGTACTGAGTGAGGGAGGCCGCATCACGAAGATCTCTTAATGGCTTGAGGAGATCTCGAAGAACGACAATGTCAGAAAGTGCCACTGTCATGCCGCCGCCAGTCAGTGGATGTCGCATGTTGAAAGCATCGCCCATCAGAAGAGCTCCAGGTGTAGGCTGTGGGTTTGCTGGCATGCTTCGGTTTGGCATCGTCCTTATGTTCCCTTTCTCGACCGCAGATATGAAGGCATCCTGAAGCTCCGGAGGGACCTGAAAGGTTAACTTGCTTCATCAGAAACTCCAGTTGTAAGTGGGAAACACCTACCAGTGTCTAACCGTTTAGTAAACCCTTTTGTTCTCTTTAAATAAAGAACCTATTATGCAGAATTGATACCTGAGGTGCAACGTTGTTCTTCAAGTATTTAGCCATTTCACCATTTCCAATTGAAGGCACTTTCTGCCCTGGTACATCAACCAAACACCGGATTTCTGTGCTACTGATTGGGTAGAACAGAATTGGAGATGGATCTGCTAGAATGACATGCCCATGGTTTGGGAATGGAAGCTGACAGTTCTCCAGGACCAAACCCACAAAGCAAGACGGCACATCTACCTGCACTCATGATGTTCATACGGGAGAGAAAACAGTTACATCTCAGGAAAAGAGCATGTTATCAGAAAAAATGGAACTGGGATTGTGCTGATAACACTAAACTAAACTTCACCTTTGGTGTGCAGAGGTTGCGTCGCAGATTAGAGAAGCAACCATCACAGACAATAGTGAGAGGAGCATAAGCCTTGAGTTCTTGGCCATCTTTGGTTTTGTATTGAACTCCCTTAATCACCCCATCTTCTTCAAGTAAGGAAGTCACAGTCCCTTGCTCCAATCGAATACTAAACAAACACGTGAAGAACGAAAAACGAGTAAGAAACTCTCACGCTAGTAAAAGGGAAGCGAGAGAAAGAGAGAAGGGGCAAGTCCCCAAGTGTTTACTTACTTGGGGAGGGTAGCAGCTTTTTCTCTCATCCTCTGGATGAAACGCCCATTATGGAAGCTCCTTCCAGCAACGTCTTCCTCGAACTTGTCCAGAGGATATGAAAGTCTGGTACTTTTGCCATCTTTCATGAGAGCATATCCAAGAACTCGTTGAGCATCAATTTCTTCCACACAATCTGAGCAAGGGTTGCAAGAAGGCTCCACATTTCAGCTAAGCAAATCGCAGCCAGGACTTGGAATCAGAATGCATGTGAAGCGTTTCAGAAAGCATGTACATTACATACCTTGAAGTCCAAGTTCAATGAGTTTTAGATATCCCCCAGGTTGGAGAAGTTCCCCAACAATTCTGTCAGGCTCCGTCAGATCCCGTTCTATCACATGAACTCGCCTTCCATCCTGCATCAGAGCAAACGGGTTTTCACAATTTTCCACCATGAAACGAAACAAACTAACTTGAATAGCAATGGGGTGGAGCGTAGAGTACCATGGCCTAAATTTTTTTGTTTTTTTTTTTTGTTTTAATCATAGCCTGTATCTTTTCCATAGTGATCATAGCCTGTATTTTTAATTTAAGATTACTAGACTCTTCATAATTTCATTGATAAAAAGACTGCAATTATTTCGGACAATCATAGATCGGCTCCAACATTTTTTAAACTTGTTAAATCCTTATGAACAAAGGATATGTATCTTATACACATAATTTTTTATAAGTTGATACATTCTATTTTATAAGCATTGTTAAATAACCATTATATTCAGTTTATGTGTTCATAATCTGTTTTAACTTTTAAGTCTATAGATTTAAAAAGGACATCAGTGTATATAATACACCCTCGATTTCACATGTATTCAATTCATCATTTTCGTTGGTAAATGGTTAATATTGAGTGTACAAGTCCTTCAAAGAATAAGCTTTCAAATAACCATTATACAAATATTTGTAGGATTTACAAACTCGATCAATAAATATTTACAAGATTCTAACAAACGCGAAAGGGCTAATTCAATCTTATAAATAAATTATATTAAACACAATCTATCATAAAATCTAACACTCAAACAACAATTTTCTCAAATCCAAAATGGACCAAATTCGCCACCAATGCTTCATTTTCCAAATTCGAGACTTTGACACAAGCTTTAATCTTTTAAATCCTTGATCCAAACGACTCGGACAAAACGATATTTCTATGAAAAATATTAAACACTATTCGAAAAAAGCCTCTTATCACATCAGCTTTGACATAGTCCTATTTTTTTATTCTTTATTTTTGCTTTATTTTGTTAGGTTTTCACTTGCTTTTACGGTCAATGTTTGGTTAATAATATTTCTATTCGGACATTTCTTTCTACTACGTTTCACTATTTTGAGTTTTGTTTGTTTTTCATTTCTAATTTTCTTAATAAATTTTGGGCTTAAGTGTTAGATACTCTTATGCTTGTTCAATGTCTGTATATAATTATTTAAAACTAGAAGAGTCTATACTATATTTTTCTATGTCGTGGAATAAAATATTTCTAAAACATATATTGAATTTAGAGTTAAAAACGAATCTTCAATTGTGCTATATTTACTACAAGACGCACTGTTTTATATTCATCCAAGTTGTATGGTGTTATTGCATACACTAATTGAATTAAAGTGTCTTCACCGAAATATTGTCTAAACATCAAGAATTTTTTACAAATATATATTGCTAGGACAACTCCCCAAGACATGTTGGGATTAACAAATCTAACCATCATAAGTAGACGTATGATAAAATTTCAGAACATGATCGAATGTTGGGAATCCAACTAGCATAAAATAATGTTGATAATTTAAAATATGGGTTTGTGGTAGATTTTAGTTAAGAGACAAATTGATCTCTTACGAGATGTATGGTCTACTTAATAGATTATAAATTACTGATTAAATTATGAATGTTTAGTTGACAAATTACTTACTCTCTTACAAGAATCAATGTTTCATGAATTGAGATATCGCACGAGAAATCATAGCTATTTTGTACAAAACATCTAATATTAGCATTAGGCATACAATTTAGAATATTCATTCAAATATAAATGTAAAATTAGACCGATATTGCAAATGATAAAATGAATTCAGCTGCCCAACCGTTGGGAAAAATCTAGTTATTAAATGGGGAAATTGAAGACCATGAAAAAGGACAAAAGAAGCCTCCAATTTACATAGTAGAAAATAGAGAAACGAAATTCTAAGACCATGAAAAAGCATTCTTGTATTCTATTATCGGTTAGAGGAAAGCTTCCAATTCCGCAATAAAACCACGGCCACGCCTAGAAAAATATTTACTCGCTAATACCCAAAAGAAGTAAAGACTCAAGACTAAAAAACATAAAGAATGGAGCTGATTTGTATTGTAGCCAGGCCACCATCCCCCCCTAATTCTGGTTAGTTCTAGTAGCCAGGCCACCATCAAAATCCAATCCGGTCATCCGGTTCAATTGGATCCTATTGAAACCGGCCATTTATACGATTGGAATTTATTCCAGTTGGATGGTTCTGGAAAAAAAAAATCAAAACTGTGTTTGACCAATTAAAGTCAGGTTAAACCAATTAAAAAACCGGTAATATGACCAACCAAAACCGAATTTGATGATGATGATTGATAATTTTGTAATACATATTATTTTTAAAGAAATAATTTGGTAATATATGAATGTAAATTAGTCGGATTGTTTTATAATATGTTAAATATATACATAACTTACTCTGTATATTAAATTAAAATTGGCTTGAACCTCAAACCACTTGTCCACCCTTGGTAAATAGCGAAAAATGTCAAACTAACCACGGTAAAGGGAAATTGCTCTTGAGCATGGTTTCACGGGCGCAATCCGAGTTAGCGTCAAGCCGTCAAGTCAACAGATCTTATTGAAATGCCGGCTTGGCCACTTGGACACGCCACCGTCCATCGGAGAGCCACACGTCAAAGTTAAACAAACAAGAAAATGAAAAACTGCAGAAAATAAAAAAACAAAAAACGCAACAAGCATGACGATTAGCCTTTTCGAATCTCGGCAAATCGGCGAACAGATTTTT